GCTGGAGCTGCTCTCGGATACGTCCAACGCGTCCTGTATCGCGTGGGAGGGTTCGAACGGGGAATTCAAGCTCACCGATCCAGACGAAGTCGCGCGTCGATGGGGCGAGCGTAAGAGCAAGCCGAATATGAATTACGATAAATTGTCACGCGCTTTAAGGTAATTCGATAAGCGGGTATCGTACGCCGATTTATTGTATAAAGATAGAGAATCGTGTGCACGGTCATTGTTTACTCCTTCCGTATTCTTTATCTAGATTTTTTATCCCTCTATTACACGTATTTTTTTCGTACAAATCCTTCATGTAGACTTGTAAATTTAAAACACTGAAATATTATATGCGTAGCATCGTTAAAAGCAAAAAATATATATTATTTCGCAGATATTACTACGACAAGAATATAATGACGAAAGTTCATGGTAAACGTTACGCTTACAAGTTCGATTTTCATGGTTTGATGATGGCTTGTCAATCTCAAGCCGGCATTATGACGCTGGAGGCATCAACATCGTCGCGTTTGACAAACAGCAACTGTCATCCTCATCACCAAGCTCATCGTACTCATCGTTTATACCCAGTGGGGCCGTCGCCTACTCAACACTCTGTACAATCCTCTTCCTTACAATCGGGATCAACACCGTCCACGCAACAACTACCGCCACCAGCACCACCGCCGCCACCACCACATTACTGTTGGCCGTATCATCGATGTTCGCCACCGACATAACATAGTCTTCAATCGCTATTAGGCATGTGCGGTTACATCGATCGATTAGTGTCGATTTCAATGGACGATGATTCGCGCTCATTAAATTTTATTTTATTCATTCCTCTTTCTTTCTTTCTTTTAATAACAGATTGCAATACATCATTGTCGATTTTTGGAATAAAAGGAACATTATCGAAACTTGTTGGTGCATCGTTTTAGTGTACTTATTCAGCATATTGTACTTAATGGGACTCGGGACTTTTGAAATGGTGAAAAATTAAGTACACTGAAACAATACACCAGCAAGTTTCGATGATGTTTCTTTCATTCCAAAAAATCGGCAATAATGTATTACAATTTGTGATCAAATTTTAATGTTTTTTTTTTTATATCAAATAATTTGTGGCAAACAATTCATTACATTATCCATATTTGTCGCGTTCAAAAGCCCTTGGTTTTCTTGGGCGAATCATATATGTAACGACAATTAATAATAATATTGAAAATCAATAGTAATTTCACAAAAACGCGAGTATGTAAAATATTTCAAACTTCTAAATATTGCAAGGGAAAG